TAGTATGTACATGTCGTCAACTGCCAGTGATTATTTTTTTAACCAGTGGCAATTGGCCAGAACAGTACTGTATATTATGTTAATTGACATGGGTGGGACCTTTAGCAGATGGATTCTTTGGCGTATATAAATATTAAATTTTCTGAACTCATTGGTTCTCAAATGTGTGGATCCTCATTATGGTTAATTTGATTGTAGATTAAATACACATGTTGTAAATTAATGAACAATAAACTAGTTCTTACATTAAATTTAATGTATTTAATGTATGATAATGAAAAAATAGAATATCAGATAATAATAGATTATAGGTACACATCATGTTATGTAAGACAGAATAATAGCACATAATATTCCTTATATTCCTAAATTATTTAAATTTTTTTAAAAAATTTAATTATTTAAATGCTTATCCTATTTGTATACTATTTAGAAGTAAAGAAAAACAATTTAAGTAAAAAGTTAAAAAAATAAAAAATGAATCATGATATATTTATTTATGCTTGTATTATGCTTACCGAGCAGACTTAAATTATTAAGATATTTTACATATTTGTAGTTTATTTAAAAGTATAAAAAAATGAAGTAAATTATAAGATATAAAAATAAATCATAATGAAATAATAATTTTATTCATGCTTATTCCTTGCGGTATATATGTTATTTTTATTCATGAATTAAGACTTGGAATATTGTAAATTTAATGTCTATATTTTTTATTGTTTTACTAAACAATAAAAATGAAATAAAATTACAAAGGATTTATTTTATTTTAAATACGTACGTCATAATAAGCTGAAAACCATACCCACTGCCATGCTTTAGTTCGACGTATTCATGTATATAAACAATTTCAATGAAATAAAAATACGACAATTGAACTGCTTTAGCTTAGGATAGAATTTAATCTATTATCACCATAAACTGTTGTAAGTGATCAATCAAAAAAAAAGAATTAAAAAATAAAAGGTGCCATTAAACCCGCGGTTCAATAGGCTTAATCTTCAGTGCTCACACCTTAATTCTGACCCAGTTATCTTAAAAATAAAGAAAATTATGATATTGATTAGCTGTTGTTGATAAAGTTTCACATTGGCAGCCATTGTTGAAAATTGTGTAATTTTTTAACATTGACGTATTTTATAGTCATAAATAATATTAATATATAGAATTGTGAGCATTAAATGTAATGTAATGAACATTTAATATTATTGTATTATTTTTATAAAATATTAATGAATATAACGAGCTATAAAAATTTAGTGTATTATTTGAAGGAAAAATATGTCACAAAAAAAAAAAAAGTAAAATGACGACATTTTAATTCAAGATGAATATTTCAGACTTCAAGGAGTTAAGAAGCTGAAGGTTGAAAAATTATTATCTGATTACCATAGATATGCTCTTAATAATTTTGATATTACCTAAAAACATTTATTTAGTAATATGTCTATCTAAACTTAATAATTAAAATGATTTTTATAACTTTGTCTGCTAAGGTCAAGTATTGTTAATGATAATAATAAATTATATAATTTAATAATTGTCTGAAAAAATTATGCATTGTTAACAACAATTAATTAATATTATGTCTTCAATAACTGATTTCCATCAATGACAGTAACATTAATTTATATACATTTAATATTCCAACTTTAATAAATATTATCAAAATTACATATAATATTACTATTATAATTTTCCAATATAAATGTACATTTTATAGCCATTGTATAAGTAATGTGCAAAAGTACAAATGTTTTTGAAAGTATATTTAGGCAGTAAAATATAGTTATAAAATTAGTGTAACTTAATATTTTTATCATAAAATAATTTTGTTGAAGTTATCAACTGAAGACATAAGTATTTCTAATTCTTTCTAATGAAAAAAAAAAAAAGTTGTGAGGACAATAAAATATATCCAGCGAACAAATAATTGAATATGATTTATCTTCTCGTATATTAATATTATACAAAAATATATTTTAACTTATAAAGTTGTAATATATAAATCTACTGGTAGTTTAGGGATAGAAGTTTTGTATTTATTTACTTTTTTTTTTCCTTTGGATATTGATTTTTTTAAGAATAAACTAACTTTTTTTGTACTATCATCTTTCTTAATTATCGTTTACTGAATTAATTCAGTGAATAATATAAGTAATAGTTTACTAACGTGTAAAAAGTGAAAATATAATCTCTATTATAGCCACAGGCACAAGATGTCACGATCGCAATGTAAGGTCATCCAGGTATTGCATGAGGTTAGGTTAATAACAATGTGGTATGGCGTATGCTAACAAGTTCTCAACGTGATATTATTATTACCTATCCTTATAGTGGTTCGTGAATAAGTAATAATGGTTTAGTATTATTTTTTATAAAGTTATTGTTCTACGATAGTATTTCATTTTTAAAATAAATTACTTAAAATGTAAATTTAAATAGTACCCATAATTAATTCAAATTTTTTTGTCAACCGGAACATTCAAAGAAATTTTTTATCTTTTTCACGGCTTGTATAATATGTAGTTAATCCATCCAGAAGGAGTTCAAATATATCCGGAGGCTGTGAAAATACGGAGAAATTTAAAATCTACCTTTATTGATATCATAGTTATTATAATGTACCTATACAGCTATGCGTTATAACTTTTAACATTATTGTTTATGGACTTGTTCTTTTGATTTATGGACGTTAATTAAGATAAGCTGCACTTTAGCTCTAACGTTGCTCCTGTTCATTTTTTATTTAATGACGTTTCCATTACATAGCAAGATTTTAAAATATTATTTAAAAGTAGATAGTTATTATATTTAATTCAATCTAATTTTCTTTATAGTTAAAGTTTGAAAATTGAATTTTTATTTAATTTAAAATTAACTATTGCTTTTAATATCAAATTCACGTTTTATAATATGAGATATTGGGTAGGCAGTAGTTAATTAGTTGAAATAAGTTTAAGGGAAATATTGATTTCCATACTTTGGAAGAAATAATTATTATGTATTATTGTATTAGTATTTACATAAATCTATTAACTATGTCTATATCTGTACTCGATCGGCTACATGCGGTCCGCAATTATGAATTGCTGCACGGTGTTGGTATACCTATACTATATAATATATTGTTTAATATATTATTAGTATTTACTATTTATTTAAATGTACATGTGTTCACTACTCGTCTATACGATTATACATAGGCTATCAATAAACATTTGTTTAGAAAGTAAAATAACTAATATTAATAACTATTTATTGTATCTAGAAATATTAATTATTTTTTATTATAATCATCGGATGTTATAACAATATTTATCTTCATATATCAGTAATAAATATTCACGAGATAAGATTAAACAATTTATGTATATGTTTTTTTCTTATCTTTGCGAGTATATATATATTAATTATTTTTACGTGTTCGTCTACAAAATGTTAATTTTAATATAATGCTGATGTTATGTAAAACGTTTATCTTTCACTCTCTACACATGTGTTTTATCTATAGGAACTAGGAAGTAATACTACATCCTTTCAACCATTGCCCCTATTTTTAATAAGTGTTATACATTTATTTTTTATTTTTTTTAATTCAATTAACAATAGAAATAGAATTAATGACTGTGATGATGAATTTAACTGACCGATTCACTAGTTTCCGTATATTTAAATGGTTCCCATAATTATATCATATTATAACATGAAATATAAAGTACCTATGGTTTAAAACATTTAGCCATAATTTATAGATAACTCTCCCAAATGACCGGTTTATTTTTATCTTAATAATCATTATCAATTATTTTTACATGAACAATTTTATTTTATTTATAATAACATTACATATCCAATCAGTTGATATTTGTGAATATGATGACGAATGACCATTATAAATATTATAATCTTAGTATGAGAATGTGATAGTCAGGTATCACTATTCATATTATAACTTGTATATTATCACAATAATTATTATATTAATTCACAGATTTTTTTTTAAAATTGGAAAAAAAAAAAAAAAAAAAAAAAAAAAAAATGCAAAAGCAAAAAACTTCATTGTAATTGTATAATCAATAAACAATAATATATTCCTAATTTTAAAGTATACATTTAATTATTTAAATAAGTTAATGAAATTTGATAAATTATTTTCACTAAAAAAAGATTAAGTACCCATACAAAATTATACAGTTTGTTATTTACGAAAACATTAACATGATAAAGTGATTGTCGTTCGTTAAAAAGTCATTCTGTTTATATGGCTTTAGTTCTAAATTCGACCAAATATTGAAAGTACATTTCTCCTTATATAATATACTTAATAAAATTATTAAAATTTTTAATAATATATTTTTGGTTATTTTATATAGATACAAATTCAATTTCTAACCGGTTCATTTAATTATTTAACGCATAAAAAAAATTATATTATAATTTATATTTTAAGCTCTAGGGACACTGTTGCCGTCGGTTTTAGTGGGCTGTATAAGTTTTTTATTAATATATTAAGCTGACACCTTTTTTATATAGCTTAATAATTTATTTATTTTGCGGAGACGGACACGATGACACGTATATGCACATGGGTACACGGTTCAACACACACTAAAATAAGTAATATAATAATTGAAGGTCTATCAAACAAATATCGGCGAGAATAAGATAATATAACAATACAGATAAACGTAATAATAATAATAATAATAATAATTACATAAATGATATATAATACACGCGTCAACAGACACCTTTGGATCCTCACTGATATTGGATTCGGTTATCCAACCTATATACGACTATACGTACTTATGACGTTTACCAATTACAGCGTATTCATTGTATTAGTTCTAGAACAATTTTTTTTATTTTTTTTATTTATTTATTTTTTTTTTTTTTTTTGATAGATTATATTTTTACATTTAAATTATTTAAACTGTTTAGTTAAATTCCAATAAATGTGTGTTGTTAAAATGTTATTTTATTTTTTTTAGGAATGCCCCCTATATGGGTGGCATTGCCATTATGTTTGGCTCTATGTACACCTCTACAAGGCGAAGTGTACACAGCACTCTCCGAATTGGAAGAGTTGTTGGATACCGAATCTGTTCTTTTAAAAACGCTGCACCAATACATTTCCGATCAAGAACATAGAATAGCAGTATTAAAAAAGTATTGAAAATTATCCTTAATTAAGTCGATAGTGAAATTTCAAAAGTAAAATTAATTACAAATAATTTTTCTTAATAATTTCTTGTTCCTAGACATGCTGTGGATTACGAAAAAGAACATTCAATTGCAGCCAGAGACGTAACTAATTATTTATCAAATCCGATCAATGATTATTTATTAGTAAAACGATTAACTAGCGACTGGCATAAAACAGAAAAATTGATGCAAGATCCATACTATGAAAGTAAGTTCATGAGTATATACTAAGAATATATGATTATAAAGTGTAAACATTAAAAATATACAATTTTATATTTTTTAAACTGTACACTTTTAGCTGCTATGAAAAATCTGACTCAATATCGTGAACTCCTTAAGTTCCCTACAGATGAAGATTTAACCGGTGCGGCAACTGCACTTATTAGATTACAAGACACGTATAAACTCGACACGGCATCGGTTGCTAGGGGAGAATTGAACGGCATTCAATACAGCACTCAATTATCAGGTAAATTATCTACTAGATCTCTCAAATAAAATTTATAAGTATATATTTAAATAACATTCATCAATGTTTTTTTTTAGCTGGTGACTGTTTTGAACTCGGCCGCCAGTCGTATAATAGCTATGATTTTTATCATACAGAATTATGGATGAATGAAGCTTTAACAAGGCACGAACAAGAGAGATCTAATGTAACAGTTCGTTGGGAAATCTTGGAGTATCTTGCATATTCTAGTTTTATGCAAGGTAAATAATAAATTATTTTATTGTAATATATGTGTATACAATTTTAATTATTTAATTTATTGCAGGAAATTTGAAAAAAGCATTAGATTTAACTATTGAATTATTATCAATACTTCCAAATCACGAACGTGCATTGGGCAATCTAGCATATTACGAAGCTGCAATAAAAAATGGAACAACTGAAATCGATAAAAGTGATCAATCTCAAAAAGCTGTTTCTTCAACGTTAGATCCTGAAGAACGAGAACGTTATCATATGCTGTGTAGAAATGAAAACTTAATGTCAGTCCAAATTAGTTCTCAACTTCGATGTCGTTACACAAATAATAATAGGAATCCTCGTTTATTAATCGCTCCACTCAAAGAAGAAGAAGCTTATCTCAGTCCTCGAATAATTCTTTATCGAGATGTTCTGTATGACAATGAAATAGAAGTTATTAAACGTATGGCCCAGCCCCGAGTAAGTTTTTTTTTTTACTTTAAATTTAAAGTATTAATTTAAATTTATATTATAGCTTAAACGAGCTACTGTTCAAAATTATAAAACCGGTGAATTAGAATTCGCTGATTATCGAATAAGCAAATCGGCTTGGTTAAAAGAACACGAAGATGTTGTAGTAGAAAATGTTGCCAAAAGAGTTGAAGTGATGACAGGTCTTACAACAGAGACAGCTGAGGAACTTCAAGTGGTTAACTATGGAGTTGGCGGACATTATGATCCGCATTATGATTTTGCTAGAGTATGTACCTACAATGATTATTATTAATTATTAATTTATAATGATATGTAGTTTCAATTATAAATAAAAATACATTTTATTTATTTAGTCTGAAGAGACCAATGCATTCAAGTCCTTAGGAACCGGAAATAGAATTGCTACTGTTTTATTTTATGTAAGGAATTTACATTAAGAACTATAATATAAATATATATTTATATGAATGTTAATTTAATTACCATTTAATTATAGATGAGTGATGTAGCTCAAGGAGGTGCTACTGTATTTCCTTGGCTAGGCGTAGCACTACAACCTGTGAAAGGAACAGCTGCTGTATGGTTTAATTTGTATCCAAGCGGAAATGGGGATCTTAGAACTAGACACGCTGCATGTCCTGTACTTCAAGGCTCAAAATGGGGTATTTTATTTAAAACAATTTAAATGCATTTTGTATTGATGATTATATTTTATTTTTTTTCCTAGTGTGTAATAAATGGTTACATGAAGTGGGGCAAGAGTTTAGAAGACTATGTGATCCTAAAGAGGATATACAAGAAACAATAAGCAGATAATTTTGGAAATATTTAATTTTTATCAATTAATTTGGTTTTTTAAATGATTTGTCATCTTATTTAACAACGATCAATATTCAACTTTTGTACTATATTGTATCTACAATACCTTTTTAAATATTGTGATAAATGTTTCTTTTTTACCTAACTATCATTGATCTTATAATATTTTTAAGTAAGTAGTCGAAATAAATATTTTTGATACATAAATATTATTTATCAATTCATTACTACTCATTGCAGAATTTTAATTACTAAAAAAGGAGGAATTAAGTAACCCCTCTGTTGTGTAAATGTGTAATGAACAACATCATGAAGTCAGTAAAATGTAGTGGTTCTCAAATTGAGTGGGAAATTAACAAATCATCTTCGGTGTTTGTGTACCAATGACAAGCTAATGAATATCCGACTTGACTGTACTCCCTGTACATGGTTTATCCAAACCATGTTAACATACACTATACATATAGTATATACATTATGACCATTATGTTATAAGACATAGGTACTTGATACATTTTTTACTCAACTATCACTTATAAAAAATATTAAAAAAACATTAAGTAGTTTACTTTTAGTGTTTAATTTTTTTGTATGTAATTAAAGCATTAATTACATTATTTATTTTATTTTGAAAGATATTTACTACGTCAACATCAAAAATTGTATAGATCTCAACCCAGCAAATATTTTTGATATGATCTAATAATTCTACATATACAATTAGTTATTTAGAAAAAATGATGTTCTATTATTTTATTATTATTATCTTGTTCAACAGCGAGAATAGTTGAAAAATGGTCAGTTATACTAATTTAAATGACCCCAGCTTCTATAATAAGTTATTGATTATTAGGTTCTTTAACAAATTTATGATCTTTACATGAATGTTTATGAGTTATGAGTATTATGACCAATATGTGTTCTGGTCTATATGTTTATATAAGATTTGAAACCATGTTCTGAAAGAATATCTAAAACATTCAAACAACAGTAAAAAAAAAAAGAATAAGTAATACTTTCTGTATCGCAGTATTCGAAAGTTCTTAAAATTCAAAAGGTGTTGTTCGGGAAGTGACACAATTCAAAAATAAAGCTCTACTGCGTTATAATATTTAGCACAACCAAGGTCCAAGACTCAAAAGAAAATTCACGGTCGCATGCTTATAGAATTAATAAGATATACCTACCAATTCAATAACACCTTTAATACACGTATATATTATTGTAACGAGACATTAATGTTTACCGATTATATTTTACAGTGGTGAACAATCATAATTGTTGCATGCGTGTTGTGTGTACTATAAAAAAAAATAAAATAGTAAATTACTCTTGTTTTTATTTTTATACTAAGCTTGAAATTTATTTAAATCATGCTAAAACGCCTAAAATTAGAAAAAAATACGTATATATATTTTCTTGTAAAAAAATAAAATTTCATTTATTTAAATTATTAATTTTTATTTACAACAAAATGGTAATGTTTAAAGGCAGCAGTGACGTAGTGTTGTTTCTAGCATTATTAGTACCCGGTGCCAAAAATTAATTTTAGTGCCCTTATCCCCTCTGCCATGTATGTTTATACCTATAAAGAGATAACCTAAGAATAGGGGAGAGAAATTGGTTAGATTTACCATTTTTTGCACATTTCTAACTTAATAGATTAGTAATATAATATTTAAACTGTATACGTAGAATAAAAAAATATTGATAGATAGGTACCTACTTATCATACTAAACCGGTATCATTTATTTACGAATCAAATTTGTTCGATTGCATAAAAAATAACTTATCTTCAAATAAATGCTAATAAAAAATAATTTTGTACCTATTTCTGCAATGAGTGATGTGAACATTATCATTTATCATAGATAGATTCAAAACAAAATCGTACAACTTGTTCCAGTCAAAATTCTGTTATTAAATTAATAATTATATTAAAGAACAATAATGCAGTATACATAATAATTTATGGCATATTATTGTTATTGACGATCAACGACGTCGTTATTTCGGGATAAAAATAAAAACCAATTATAATAATTATATCCATACACGAATAGGTATTTTTACATAATTGCCTACAATACATTTCAAAACGTTATCTCATCGCCAGTCGAAATAATGAATCGACACCGCCGATCAGGATTATATTATTATATTGATGAAACCGTTAAAAAATATAAATTAATAGGGTTAATTTTCATCTATTAGTAATATTACTTAGATTATAAAAAGATTTTTGCGCCCGGTGCATAAGCACTTATCGCACCCCCTAGTCCGGCAGTGAAAGGCAATGTGAATATCATTAAATAACTGACCTTGTTCGCGCTATCGAACACAGTATAAATTATCTCGATTTCGCGCTGTTATAATATTTATAATATGATATGGGTTAACCATATCAGCGATCGTCAATATTTTGGATTTCACAGACCATTAAATCCATAACTCTAAATTCTACGGACCACTCCGACCACTTAAACTCATAAGTCTTAAATACCAAATAATACCCATATAAGTTGCTTTGATTTATAAAAATAACTCTTGAAGATATGAAAAAAATTAGATATAGTTATAAATAAATAAAGAATACAAATTGTAATATACGTTATAGGTAATATTGAAAAAAGTCGTACAGACGGCTTTTTAAACACTAAGGTTAATACTTAATATATCTCACCAACAGTAGAAGATATTAAAACAATAATAGAACGAAAATTATTGTTGTAAATGTAGTTTAATTTAATTTAGTATTCATAGTAAATTTCAATTTGACCAACGATTTACATTATTTACAACATAAGAACAAAAATTTTGAAAAAATTTGAAAGTTCAAATAGGCACGGGTTAACTCTAGCCGATCGATCCCATATTTTTTATGGTTAATTTTTGTATATATAAACACTGTTTTGGGCGATGAGATGAAAAAATTTTTGAACTTCAAATTTTAGGACCGCTCTAATATACAATATATATACCTATATAATATTTAGGTTACCCGTATCTGATAGTGATAACTTTATGAATTCTTTGCTAAAAGTAATTTATGATTCTAATAAATTAAGAAATGTGATAACGACGGTTTTTACAGGTGATATAAATATTTACATAATCGATACCTATACATGAAGATAACAATAGATATTTAAGTTTGAATTCTGAAAGTCAATTCATCTCTTTTATTGATGTTTACCTACATTAGATTACCCAAGTGTTTTAACCTTGCATATTTAGTTTAGACTATATATTTATTAATGGAAACCGATTACCAAATGATTAATGAGCGATGAGTAAAATTTGATCACTGTAAATACGTAGGTACTTTATGTACTTCAATAAACCATAAACCTATCAATACTGAATATGTTCAAAAAAAAAAAAAAAATGTTTTGTACTGTTGGATTACAATACGTACTATGGTATCTATACAATCTAATAGAAAATGAACTGAAGTATAAAATGAATGTAGACTGTAGTGATGTTAATAGATGCTAAATAATGTTAAACTGTTTTCGATAGTATAATTTAATGTTTAATGTATATAGATACCTACTATGATAGATTTACACCGTGTATATAATATAAATAACTACAACAGTTATATATATATATTTTTTACTGTTTTCTAGTAAAATAATTAAAAATAGATATATTAAATATGTCAGAACTTAGAAGAGGTAAAGCAATCTTGAAAGATTTTGACTTTTTGAGAAATTGAGTTTAGTTTAAAAAAAATTCTTATAGATGTATTTCTAAAATAACTTATATTATATATTATACATAAAAATGAATCTATTGACTATTTCACACTCTCAATCCATTTCCATTAAGATTTAAGATAATTAAATTATAATTTACAAGAAATTAAAAGTTATTACTTATACAATTATAAAAAGGAATAGGCAATGTCCAATGTCTGTAGTCTGTACATAAACTACAATAATTTACTGAATCAATCTATTCAAAGTATAAATATTATAATACATTTTTCATAACTGCTGTGTTATGAATTATTATGAATACTAAAAATTATTATGTTTAAAATATATAATATTGAGATTTTGACACTTATAATAACACATTTAAGGTATTTTGATATCTTACATAATGCTTTCTTACTTTAATATTGATAAAAATACAATTGTAACAACTAGGTCGTCACAAGTCACATGGTATGGAGTATAGACAGGTTTGCAAATGTTTGATGAGAATCTGGTGAAAACTTGAGTTAACTGTATTAATTTATTTCCATTGAATGACCATCATAGGTGTGCACATGGGGTGGGCGGTTGAGCTCTGGTTCGACCATAATCTTTTTAGAAGCATAATACAATTTCAACCACTAAATCAATACATTCATTGCTAATTATATAGTAGCAAATAATTATTATTCATTGTACTGAAATTATTCAGTGTAATACCAGTAACAAGTCGTTTCTGTGAACAGGTTTTTTCTAAATTAATAACAGTAAAAAATAAATTAAGGAGTATTATACAGTAAAACCAACTTAATAGTTAGTTATTGATGTTTACTGAACCAAAATTAACATCTAGTATTGATGTTGACAAATTCAAAATAGTAAAGGAAATATAATTCATTTATAATTATTTAAAAAAAAATTATTATATAATTAAGTTTGTGTAATAAAATATTGTGTATAAACAATTTATTGTTCACTAAACCATGTTTTTTTTTTAAACTTTAGTAACTTCAAAAATATATGTCTAGAAATAAACACATTAATGTTGTGTATACATACAACTTGATTCTATTTATACAGTTTTTAATTTACAATTAGAATGTACATTAATGAGCTAAAAAAAAATAATAGGGGCACTGATTAAGTATTGAGCATAATTGTTCAAGACTCGACCAGAAATTGAAGTCTGCACACGCTTATTATGACCATACTGTCAGAAAACTTTAGAGCTTTTGTTCTAGAGTGGTATCTTTTACATATCTATAAATGTTGTTAACATGAAAATTTCATATTTAATATTAGGCATGGATCATTTGACAAATACCTAACTTCAGTAGACTATAATAATGATACATTGAGTGTACAAATAGTAATTAAATTTTAATAATTGTCAATGTGAAAACATATTAGGTAAAAAAAGTATGAAATATATTGTGCACATAGAGCTAAGGATTACCTTACAATATAAAATACTTGTTAGATATCTTCATAGCTAAATTGTTTAACTTCAAGGTCGTAGGAACAATGTATTTATAACCACTGTTTTATAGTAATTAAATTTTTGTAAATATTACTAGGATTGTTAATTTTTTTCTTCATTTAAATGTTTGTAATTTTGTTGCTCCAATAACTACATACCTAGCAATAATTTCAAACAAGATTATGTTAACTTTTTTTTTTTAAATTTTTTTATTAATATTATTTGTAACATTTTTTAATAGGATAACTTAAAACCAAAATTATTGCATTATATATTGTCCATTTAACAATAAATATATTATTTAAATGTTATTTTAAAAGGAAATTCAATAACATTAAAAAATTGATTTATTATTTACTTAATTTTAAGAGGCATTAATATATAACTGAGATAAGATAAATCAATGTTTATTTTTAAGGTTTCTATAAAAATAAAGTAACTCAATATGTAGCCAGAGAAAGTTTTGTATTGAACCGAAAAATAGTATATACAAATAACGTAAAGGAAGTAATCAATTTTACAGAAGATCATGTAGTAAATGTGCTTATTTATTATTGGATCTTATCATCAGTCTAAAGAATAAACAATGATAATTTTCTCCCTTAAAACGTTATATAAATATCCTAGTTTTACATTGTCAAGTCCATAATAGCATTGACAATATCGTTGTTGTTTCTTAGTAATGCATCAATAGCCTTGCGCTTAGTTACTCCTGCTTGCGCACAGACTAGGTCTACGTCCTTTTCTTCTACTCCCTTATAATCAATCTTGCCTTCTTCTTCCTCTTCTTCTTGGATAGGTTGACTGACCATTGGCCTAGATGCACTATCTTTGTCCAATACACTCGGCATCATATCAGCCGACTTGAATTTCTCAGCAGCTGCAACTTGTGCTTGCTGGCTTAAATCTTCGATTTTAGCCTCACCAAACACAATGTAAGTGTCAGATGCCGGGTTCTTGAAGACATCAGGATTGTTAATAACAAACAGAATATTTTTGGACTTGCGAATAGTCACTCGATTAACTCCATGAATCTAAAAAAACCAATAAAAAAAATTTGAGGATCGATAAACGGCATGCAAAATAATCAAAACAATATACTTCTACCACACACCTGCTTAAGACCAAGTTTGGATATGATTTTTCTAGCTTTTTTCTCGCCTCTTGACTGTCTAGCCTTGTTGGACAAGTCTTCAGCGGTGACAACACTCGCTCCTTCACCACCCTTGCCGGCAGCAACATCTACGCCGCTGGAATCGCTGTCACTGTCTGCAGCATCTTTCTTGGGCTCTTCGAAGCTTACCTTTTTTGTCGCATCGATTTCCGTTAATTCCGGCATGTTTCCTGTAATAAAACACACGTTCGCTCCTATGAAAATCGGTTCGCTTTTGAATAGTTAACTATTTAATAAGTATGTGTCGAAGACTCGAAGTCTTGAAATACTCACTTAAATCTGTTGCGTTGAAAAAAAATTCAATAAACTACGACAAACGTCTCGACCTCGAGGTTATGTACGAAAAAACGTGTTGTGATCAACAATACGAGTTGTGAAGACCGAATTCGGTATTATCGAAATCACTATTCTGTATTCACAATAGCAAGTCAAGGAGTATGAACATAATAAGTGTAAAAGAAATAGCGTACAGTGTGACCGCACGTGATAATATCGAAAGTCTTTGTCGACCTTGTGAACGAAAAATGTTGTGGTGTGGTGTGACTATAAAAAAAAAATATTATGATAATATTATATAATTATTATTGACTACATAATCTGATTTGCGCCGGCGCGGTATCTTGGGTAGTCAAATAAGTACCTAAAAATTAAAATGACTAAAATCAGTAAAATATGAATAAGTAATTTAAATGGTAGAACATTAGGGAACTAAGAACAATGAGTAAATAATGAAAGCATAAATTATAAAAATAGTCAATATAATGACAAATCGATACCTAATATCTTTTGAGCGTACCTGCTATTAATAATGGACTACATAATAATAAAGTTTATTGAGTTTATTCTCAAACTTAACGATTAGCGAATCGATTGCAAGAGTTTTGAATATCTACCAACAATGAACCATTAGTTCAACCCCTATTCGTCTTTGTTTACGTATGATTTGGTTCTGTTTAACTAATACTTATTATAGGTAACAATAATCGTAATAACTACACTTTTTTTTTAAATATTATCGCGGTCAGTACGTACCTATAGTTGAATTTTATGTAAATCTTTTTATACCGATTTCACGTTAGTAATAAAATAACTTGTTAAAATCTTTTATTTGAGTTGAAAATAACTGGCATCCACGGACGACGGATGTTATACTCAAAGGAAAAACAAATTTTCATTAAAGGTACCGTATCGGCGGTCACGAACAACATTGCCGTGAACGTATCAAAGTATCAAAAGACGTTGCACGATTTTGCCGTTATTGACCGGCAAACAGTCCACATATTGGGTACAGACAACTCGGTGGATGGCACAACCGATGTTCCGCAATATTGTCTCGACACGAAGACGGACGTCACCCAAGTAAAATTATTACAAATTACTTGCATAAATGCATAATAATTAGTAGTTTTATAAATTTTGGAACTGGGAAGATATTTTTTATAGCTTTAAATTAACTGAAAAACTGTATTCAAATTACCATCCAACTAATTATTAAGTTTCCATAGAATGTTAGTGATCAAACCTTCCACATAACGAGTAATGACTATCCCTATTCCTTCACTCTGCAAACAATTAAATTTGTCTTCTACAGGTCTATAACTGGAGTAATTATGGTCTAGACTTATTAATCTAATTGATATTTATAATTAAAAAAAAAAAGACAATATTTCAACTCGCATTACTGTCACTATCACTTACATGCCTAAATATATTTGAAGACTAAATATAAATTTATATTCTTCAAATTAATTTTTTTTATATATAATACTTAAAATTTGAGAAAAAACAATTATAAATAAAAAAATTGACATTTTAAATTAAACATCCGTTGTTTATAAAAACAAGACATGCAAATATTTCCAAATATCTAATAAGTAAAATTCTGAAATCAGCATCATGGTTATTTTCGTATATTTAGATACTTTGGTGTACACTTGGTTATATAAATTGTCTAGTAGTCACATGTTCAGAAGGACTGATCATATATGACTGTGATCAACAGTTTAAACGTATTTACACACACAATTGCGAGGACAAAAATATGAAGGAGAAATACGCTAAAGGGATAGCTACATTTGAATGTACTTATCTATGTGTTGGTAAGTGAATTTAGTTTTATTTTTACAAGACTATAGCAATTATTTACATGTTTAGGCAATAGTAATGGATCAATAAGAGTGTTTGGACCAGATGAAGACGGACAAGTCGTATTTTTGGATAGGAAGCTGTTACATGGGGCTCCTATTGCGGACATATCGTCTTACAAATATAATTTGGTGTCTTGTGATGAGTCAGGATGTACTGTACTCTCACAAATTGATTGTGGAGAATTGATGATCATTGCAAGAACTAAAGTGTTTGGAGGGTTGGTTAACATTCAAGGTTATTATAGCACACTGTAGTTAATTGCCATTCATGTTTCACAATTTACACATTTGAAAGAACTATTGTGGTGATACAAACATCAAACGATTTGTTTTAGACATCCATGCACTACATCAGAAATAACTAGAATTGGACTAATGGCCATAGGCTATGGATGTGGAACAATTCGTTTATTTGACCCAACAATCAAACTCGTAGAAGAAGATGCAGAAGATCAGCTTCCAATGATAGTTCAGGTGTCTGCACATGCTAGATGTGTTACATCCATGTCAGCAGCTAAAGATGCAGATCTATTATTGAGCGTATCCGAGGACTCGTGGATTAGAGTATGGAAAATCAGTTCAAAAGTAATAACCAACTCCCAGTATGTTTTGTAATTATTAGCTACATTTTATCATTGCAGACCATTACATTGTTATATTGCTACATGAAAGAAGATACTTTGTTTGTGGGATGTCAATTTATAACTAGAAATGGATCAAAATTTTGTACTACAGCATATGATTCACCATACATAACATGTTATGCATTAAACCAGTTGTAGGATATGTAATTTTATTTTAAAAAAAAAAAACAAATAAATTTAAATGTGGTAAAAAATTTGAATTTAAAACAAGACATTGTATTTATACTGTATAAGTGGAGGGCTTAAATAATAATAATAAAAAAAAATACATCAGATATTATGAATATATAATTTTAGTAATTTCAATATTCTGGATGTTTCTATATGCAGATAACAGGATTCCTTATCTTAAGTTAAAATGCCTAACTATTACATATAGAAGGTCAGACTAAAAAAAAAACAAATTTGAAATTAAAAAACCTTAATTGTTAAATAAATTAACACCAGAGGACAGTGTCTCTTGTTTCATTTGGAATTTACACATCCAGGAACATTAAAGCCAGATGTTTCAGTTTAATTACTCTGAAAAAAAAAAAAAAAAATTGTTAGTAAATTAAATGTAATATGGACAAAAGTTGACAATATATTACATACAAAAAAAAAAGATAAGACACTAATTCCTAAGTTTTAAGTAAAATGAGATTTAAATAAAATGCATTTTACCTTTGCTTAATTTATAAGCCAAGTTAGATTAAGAAATAAAAATGTAGATAATGAAAAATATGTCCTTACTTAATGCACACAAGTAATTTGACCTACATTTTTTGGTATAATGATGATGAATACAGACTATTATGCTTCTAACGCTGAACCCATGTTCGATATAAAACAATAACTTGTATAATAGACTAATTCAGAACAGATAGAATCGTTGATTAGGTTAACCAGAAGTAAAACTAACCGACAATGTCTATCTGGTTAATCTTTAGAATAATTTAAAATAAAAAAACTCTAATGTTGTAATAAGTTGGGTTGAAGAGGTAATTAAATTCTAAATAAAAATAAAAAAAAATTAGCTATTTGATTAAACATAAATTTGTCATACTATAATTGAGCCCAATAGAAAATCATCAACATACAATAAATTTGGGCTCAGCAGAATCTACAGCTGGTTAGTATTAGTATTAATATGAGTGAACAACTCATTTTAACCAAGGTAAGAACATAATCTGTGCTTAAGCATCGGCATTTATGATATTCTAATTTTGAAGCAAACATGAGTATGTATCATATTACAAATTAATACTGCCCAAAATTTAGGAACAGAGACCTATGTATTATGGTAATAAATTAACTAAGTATATAAGTTAAATATTAGATAACCTAATATATAAATTAATTAGAATGCCCACTGATATTCATTATAAATCTTCACATATTAGTTATACCAAAAAATATAATTTTTTAAAACTATCATGGATACTTATAAAATATAAAAAATAATAATGGAATGGCATCCTTTAAAATGATAGATTATTGGTATGGAAAAATCAATATCAATCACAAAAACCTTTAAATATTACCAAATTAATAAAATGACATCCCCAACGAAGAGTGTCGTAACTCACTAAAAATCATAAGAAAAAACAATATTAACATTCAAAAAAACATTCTAATTCTGGTTTTCAAAATTATTTTCTTAATCTTTGAGGTACTTGCATACTATTGAAACTGGTGAATGGAAATTAAAAAGAAACACAAATGGGTATGATATGCTCTTAAGGATTTATAAAAAATACAATAACAAAACGGTATTAAAGCCTATGTTACACAATGATAATAAATTATTGATTAATATTTTATAAACTGATAATTTTCCATTTTAGGTTCTAACGGTACACAACCACAACGTTCTTGAAACCTTTCTCTTAACCAACATGAGTATTATTTTCGGTTACAATACTTGATGTTTTATATGACAGTTATATCGAGATATTTCAATTAGAATAAAAACAATCAAACTTTTTCAATTAAGAGTAAAATAAATTAGTAATCGAGCAAGTTCTATTATGAGTTATGTAATTAAATTTTGAATTATTATCTGGTAATTGATTTAATATTTATAATCTAAAAAATATACATATAGAAATTGGCTAACCCCAAAACTTTCTTTTTGATTTTATTATCTTTAAATAGTAATTGAAATGTTTAAAAATTTTTTTGTTCATTAAATATTAATTATTCATATATTAACTACTACGATCTATTATATAGTTTCTTAATTAGATAGCTATTATTTTATGTTTAATTTGGAGGATATTTAATAAATTTTATCTAAAACTTAAAATGCATTATCAACATTTGCTGGATTTGATAACTAATAGCAATACATGTTTGTAATAAAATTATAATGTTTCATTTGAAATATATAAAAAAAGTAAGATTTCTCATAATCAAGAACTTACAGTATCTTAGAACCTAAGATCAACTGATTAATTTAAAAATTAATTATTAAATAAAAATTCGATTTTTTATTTAAAACACTAATAATGCAGTATCAATACATCCTAGAATTTTAAATCTTTTTAACTAATATTACAAGAAAAAAAAAAAAGCAAAATGTAATCAATAATTATTAATTATAAGTTTATTCATACTTTGAGTAATTTTTCAATTCTCCTGATAAGAAAGATTATTCAATTATTCTATAATACGAAAAAATGAAGTTAAATCCATGAGACTCGTTTAAGAAAATGTTTCAATTATACACTAGCAATAGTTTTTGTTGATTATCTTGTTTAAATTTTATAGTAACCCAAGTTATAACCTTTTTAATGGAAAATTATCATTAGGGTATTCATACAAAATACCGATTGAAAATCTCTTTGGCTGTAATTAAGTATTGTTTTCAGGGTTAATTAAAAAAAAATGCGTTAACAGATAGCAATACTAACTTAAAATGAAAAAAAAAGTAAGTTATGGCACTCTTCATTGGAGATATAAAAATGTAAGAATTATAATATTCAAAAAATGATATTTTTGGTAAATTAACACGTTTAATGCCGGTGATGACACGTAGTCATCATAAGATGTCGACCCACAGTCGTCATATCACAATTATTTCTGTGTCTTATAAAATCGTCGGCTGATGGCGAACAATTATTATATTTAGCTTGGCCATTCAATATAAGTATTTGAACAACAACAAACAGCTGGTTTCGGTTTCCCAGCATTTTTATGCTTATAAAACGTGTTATTAATATGATAACATTACGAGTGTAATTTTATCAATATTTATGCGGCTGGATGCGCTCAACCTCTGAATTTGATGTGGACGTGAATGTATTAATACCATCTTTTGATTATCTAACTTAAAAAAATTTAACTACAAAAATATAAGTACTTCGTTATCAATTTTAGGCCTCTTAGCTGCTTTACCGCCCTTTGAATTTGAATTAGCTGCTATTTTACGTTTCTTTTCATCTACCTAAAATAATAGATAATATAATATTAGTTAAAATTAAAAAATTTGATATGACTTTTACATACACTATTTTTTTCTTCTTCAATTACCTCTTCTTCTTCTTCTTCAAATTCTTCATCAATCTCATCATCATCCTCTTCGTCAGCCATTCCTTCACCAGCTACTCCAAGTAAAATTTTTTATTTTAAATATACATCAAAATATACAATCAAAATTAATAATACATTATTTAGCTCAGAAACTACAAAAGGTTCATCACAATCTTATCAGACGCAAATTACCCAAATAATGATTCATCATTGCAATAAAAATATAACTAATATTAATGAATACTTACTACCAACGGAATGATTTCCCAATAGATGGATGGGGCCGTTGCCTTTTACAAGTTTAAAGGTAACTGGAGGGTCTGGGAACAAAAGATCAAGTACACATTGACTATGACCAGTACCTCCTTTCAACACAACAACAGGGAACTTAATATCAGATTTGTAACCCATTGCTTCAACTTCAATTACATTAACTTCACCATCTGGTACTTCTGGTCCTAGAACAGCCTAAAAAACAAATTTATTTGTGCTAATTGTCTGTTAAAAAAGGTTAAACTGAAATTTACCTGTTTGACAAGCAAAGTATGTTCACCCCTGAAGACGTGAGAACTATCATTGGCATCAGGTTTTACATCAGGATCCCACACTTCAGTAACCTTTGTCTTATCCAAAGTAACTCCTAAAATGTTGTACACATTTATTATTGAAGATAATATAAAGTACTAAAAAAATTGTAATATACGATGAACTTTTTTTATTTCACTTAAATTAATAGTTAGTTGATAAATAGTTAAATATGAGAACAACAACTCAATTTGTACAAAGAGCAAAAAATCACTGAATAATTGATTAACAATATTAAATTATCAATTGAAATAATAATACAGCCATGCTATATAGTAAAAATTAAAAATCAGAAGAGTATGCACGAGTGGAAATAAAACATTGGAGGTCACTTTTTTTACCTTGAAACGATAGCATTTTTATACTATATTAGATTTAACAAAATTTTACAGGAACACGAGGTACATGGAAGGAGTAAAAGTGCGAGCGCTTGGTATAAAGATAAGTACATATTCAGTAGACCGAGCTCTATTATATTATACACTCCGTAGTAAAATTGTTGAAAAAAATAATTGGCAACACGCTTTCTCGTCTAACGGGGAAAACCGAAATGTATTTTAACAGCCACGAACGAGTTTAGAAAAAGTAAAATTAAGAAATGGACAAACGATGGTTTAACCATTTAAAGTGTTGAACAGCGACAATAATAGTATTTTTTAACGCCGGGAATAAGTATTCATACATGGAACGGATACGCGGACCATGTGACTTTTAGTTTTCAGTTGCCGGGGGCCACTCCTAGGGATAAAAATCGTACGGTATAAATGGCCGTCAATAAATTTTTAAAAACGTGTTAACCACGCAAGAAAAGATAACATGCAAAATGTTGAAGTACGTCATCGATTAACGTGAGGGAGCGAAAAAAAATCATCAACGTGTGGAGTACGTAACCATATTAATAACGACACGCGTTGTGCGAAGTTTTCGCGCGGCCATCATACTTACCCCAAAAGTAGTCTTCGGTCATTCTGATGTTTCGATCGTTTATTAACGTGAAAATGTATTAAACGTTCGTGCTGTCGCGTTTGTAGTAAAAACGCGTTGGAAAAAATGAGTAGTTGTGAAATTGAAACAATTGCGCACAATGTGTACGTTACGACAACTGTAACAATAATGGCCGACAGCGGTTTTCGACGTTGTCGCTGTCGTCGTTGCCGGTAAACAAAATCCGTTGTTTGCCCCTTCCGCACAACCATATGTGGCGCTACCTACAGACGCCATGCCGGTTCAGTGGGGCCATGACTAAGAGAATAAAAGTAGTTGAGGCCGAATGCTTGGTGCACTTGTCGGACGTCGTTTTCGTCTTATCTGTTCGATTCTCATTGGGTGTCATAATTGCCGCGTTATCTGCACTCGGTTCGGTTTTTGGTTTTCTGATCAAAGTAAAAATAAAAACTAAAATCACTAAAAATATAATCATACAATATTTTAACACTGAATTAGTTACCGTACTCAATAAGTTTGTATTGTTTGTAATGACAACACAGTCAACATTTCTATTGATGAGTGATGATATTTTTTCGATTGCGTTTCAATATTTGCATAAGCATTTATTTAAACTCATAAATTTGTTCTTTTCGTGACACGTCTTCTCTCGATCGGTTCATACTTGTTTTTATTTATCTGCAGCTTACCAAGATTACATATTATTAACGTGAAAAAAATGTTTGAAATGCCGTTAGTCAGATTATTTTTAATTATTCTTTTAGCAACGTCGTTGGGTGTCTTATGGTACCTAGACACAGCATTTTATCACTGGGACCGAGTGTTGCCACAGCCTGAAGAAATAATTGTTGAAACAGTGCCAGAATCTTCCAAAAATGTCACAACTTTCAATAAGCCCAAAGATTTTGTACCAACAAATGAATGGCAAATAATTGACGAAGGTATACAATTAAGTTTTGTATTATTGAGAAAATGTTGTCTTATATATTTTTATTATATACTGTTATATTCCTTACATATGTTTTATATTTTATCCCCTGGTCTTTTAAAAAATGTTTGTTTAAGTAAATAATTACCTGTTATACTTTGAGTGATAAATATCTACATTTTTTGTTCTTTAAAATGTAGGTAGTAGAATTATGTAATATTTAAAAAGTAAACTGCAATCTGTATTGGATATTTAAATTATATTTTCTAATAATAAACATCTATTTTCTTGGTTTTGGTTACGGTTCAAAAATATAGAAACCCAAATATGATTGCTTATTAGGTACAGTATCATATTTTTTTGAGCTGATCAATTGAATTACCTATTTATTATTATCATAGGCCAAATAAACTATTTCATCATTGAAATTTTTGCTAAACAATATAAAGTTTATAAATCAGTAACAATATTTATACTTATTTTTAGGTCAACCTATTCCTCCCGGATTGCATGTACAAATTGATCTCCAGACAGGCGAAAAAAAGGCTAAATTAATGGAGGACAATGGAAATAATAAAACAAATAGTTTGGCCATTACAGACTCCCATATACCAGAGAATTTTGTAAGTAATTCATGAATTATACTTGAAAAATAAATCATATTTTACTAGTTAGTATTAAAATGTTTTTAATTAATTAACAGAAAGATCCAAATAGTCTACCTGATAATTCACACAAATTTAGATCTTATGAAGAACTTAAAGATGATCTTAAAGATTTGAATATGACTATAAAAAGTGATATGGATATAATGGATGAACTTTCTAATAGATTTAAAGAGCAATTGAAATTGTATGAAGAAAGTGATAAAAGTCTTCAGAATATTTTAACTGATCTTGAATATCTCCTACATCAAGTTGATACAGCTGAAGTTTTTGTAAAAAATAAAGGGTTTGTATTACTTTTATTTGATTTGTAGGGAATTTTGTTAAATTTTACTCCAGTTACAGCCAAAATTTTATGTTTAGTTATGTTCTATGTTTATTATTCACTTTAACTTTTTAAATTATATTACTAGTTTAACCATTTAATTTAAGTAATTTTTTTTCAGGATACAATTAATAATAATTCCTTGTATTAATAGTAATTCAAATTCTTTAAAAGCACTAGGAGCATTACTCCTTGGTTCTGCTGCTTCTAATAATCAAAAAGTTCAAATTGCTTCTTTAGAAAGTGATATTTTACCACTTTTATTAAAGCATATTGATAATGAATTTACATTTTCTGTAAGTACATACGTTTGATTATTTAAATTTATTAATATTTATTTTATTTTACTTAATTAATCTTAATTTTTATTAAATTTTTGTCTAGGTTCAAAAGAATTGTATCTATGCTTTATCATCTGTTACTCGACGATTTCCCTTAGCACAAAAACAATTAATAGATAATAATGGTATTCAAATTTTCATGTCTGTGTTTAAAATGCCTGTATCTGAATTCAATTCTAAACTTAAGGTTAAAATTATTTAATTTATTTAATTTATTTATATTATTCTACAACGTGTTTCAATTTTTATATTAGTTAAAAATTACTCAACTATTAGAAGACTTAACTATAGAAATTGAGGATGCTAAATTAACATACGAAGAAGAAACTAATAAACAGCTCAGCATCGAAGCTGCTGAAAGAGTTCGTCAATATAATGATGTGCACTTAAAAAACAAACTTGTTGAAAATGGGTGGTATGTTTGTAGAACTATACATGCCAATTTAGTTGTATATTCGCATGTTATTTTTTTTAAATAGGTGCAACATTTTGGGAAATGAGTTAATTATGCTGTCTAACCAATTACCACTAGATGAAGAAAAACATGAAATGGTTGAAGCTTCTGGTAAATCATTATTAGCAATGCAAAAACTATGTAAAGTTAAATTGCATGGCAATAAAGAATTCTATCGATCATTTTACACATTACAAATGTATTACAAACAATTACTCCAAAATGATGCCTTTTTTGATGAATTATATCAGTTAACAACAGAATTGACTAACACTTATGATCCTGTATTAGAATAGTATCATGATATTTAGTTTAATTTATAAATTTATAAAACTGTGTGTAATTAAATATCTGATGTATTTAATATTTTTTCTGTGATAAAATTTTATTTAGTTTTTAACTTATGAAAATTATATATTTACTTTTATAATAAGATTGTATACTTAGCAGTTGTTAGTTATTTGATATATATATATTTATATATTATATTATACAAATCTTAAATATCTGTTTGTCATACGTTTTAAATTTTAATATAACTGCTTTGTTTAATGTATTCCATTTATGTCCTTAAAATAATTCAATATTTGGTAAGGCTGCCTTAATTTTATAAAAAATACAAAAAGTCTGTTTAATTAAATTTACAAAAGTATACAATGGTTAACTTATGAAATTATTAACTAAATAACTGCAGTTAAATATATACATATATGTTTATATATATATTTAGTTCATAGATACATTAAGGTAAAAATTAATTGCCTATAATCAGTGGTGAATCTATGATATTTTTATGGTGGGTGCTATTTTGTTAATAATAGTTCTTAATTACTTATTATGTATAATTTAGGGGGGGGGGAATTAATAATTCGGTACTTAACATTGAAGAAACCCAGTTTTACATTCTGCATTTTGTATTTATTACATAATTAAGCAATATAAACATTTTAAACAATTTAACATACATTATTTTTTAATAATTAATTAGGTACATAAAAATACTATGTAATATAAGTAATGTAATTCTTTATTATGGCAAACCGTACCAAAAATTCACCTCTCAGTGAATTATTAGTAATTTTTAGTAAAAATATGCGGAACGGTGGGTGTTTCCGTTCCAATGCACCTCCGCCCACTAAATCTGCCACTATTTATTATAATATTTATACTCAGGCGGTGGACCGTGGACGTATTTGTATCCTATCTTACGAGTCGCGATTCTGATTTTTAAATACTTTAGATACTAGAAGCTTATTTGGGCGCGTTTTTGCGTTCATTGTGTAGTGTGTACAAATGTACAATTGGTAATTTTATTCTAGTCACTCGGGTATATCTGATAATTCTATCAATGTTTGCTATAGGAACACAAATTAGTGTTTATTGGTTTCACGATACGAGAAAATTGGGGAATGGGATATACGGGCGCGGCGCTTTTTACTTATTAAATATAAACTATGGATACGAATGAACCTATTTATATATTTAATTTTAAAATTAATTAAATAATAAACTATTGTAGTTTATTTTAAATTTAGAAAATTAAAACCATTACCAGATAGGAATTTGTCGTAATTTAATCGTATCTAATGTATTTTTGTATATATATATATAAGAACAGGCCTTTTTTATGTTCTCGGTGTGTGACAACACTAACATTTTTTTCACAAGGTTCAAGGTTATACCAAATACTCTTGTACGAGTGATCTATTATTCACAATTTAATTTTATTCGTCATTACAGTAATAATCGTTTAATAATATTAACAATTCATCTACTTCTACTATTTAGTACTTGATAACATTAAGTAAAATAAATTATTTTCTTCTTTAAAATAACAATGTGTGTTGATTTAAGAATTTCATTTTGAGAAAGCACAAAACACTAACGGGCTAGCTGGGTAATTCAGCTAGTACTAGATACATTATGTAATATCATGTTCATTGAAGATAATATTTTGCGAGGACTTCAGAGCAATTTGAGATAAGCACATGGCTTATTTTTTTTAAAGTATTATACCTAATAACAATTCAATTTTATTTAATTTAAGACATAAAATTAAAATTTTAAACAACATTACAGAAAAATGTCCTGAAGGAACGCAGGTTGTCTGATCCAGAGTACTCAATATTTCTTTCATAATGGATAAGGAAAATAGAATATCTGATAGGTATCTAAATAAGCTGCGCCAATTTTTGTCCTAAACTGAAAATTGAATTTTGATTGGTTTTAAAACTACAGATTATTTAAATATTTTATACATTTTTGTAAAATATTACAAAAACTTATAATATATAAATAACTGTAAATTGGGATACAAACACAACACGTGGACATCATTAACATTGTGTCAGTCATAAAAATAGCATTAGTCTTGTATAACAGTAATGAACCCACAAAATAATAAATATACTCAAGTTTGTCAGTTCATATATAAAACTAGTCTTATACTACCAAATATTAGTTATTATTAAAAATTAAATGAATTATAGTATTTTGAAAAAACCTAGTAAACAGTTTTTGATATAATTTTATAATACTTAAAAAATTAATTAATTAAAATAAAGATTAAATAAACCACAACAATTGAAGCATTAAATATTCAAATTTAATAATAATGTATAATTACATACTACACAGTATACATAAAAAATTATTTTAAATAAGTCTCAATAATAATTAAAACACTAGTATAAGAAGTTCATTTAACTTAACTTACTTTTTGTCTTACTATTGCTGGGATTTAGCGATTAAATATTAAACAGTCAATAATTGATTTAAACTTAAAACATTTAATTATATATAGCCATCTGTAAGTACATTTCCATAGTCATTGATATTTAAACTTAACTTATGGCATTTATAAAAACTAAACTTATTACATAAATCAGTAATTCAAATAATTTAAAATTAACGTATACATTTTGAAAATAAATTTCAAATACATGCCATAGTTCATCTCATTGTTAGAGTGGCAAAGAAGAAGTCATGTCATTTTGAATAACAAAATCGACATCCATTGAACCGTAACTGGAATCTTGTCGAGGACAAATTTCTAATCCTTCCATTGAATCTAAGGGTAGCGTGTCATACCCTGAAAAATATGTAAATATTAAATAAAATATACCATATTATTATAATCATTTCAATTGTTAGTAAATTAATATTAAGATGTCAATTAACATAAGAATTTTGAAATTAAATATACATTTAGTATTAAATGGTCTATACAAAAATTACACTATGTTAAAATATTGATAGAGATTTATTTAAGTTTTGGAATTTATTAGAATATACAGGTAGTATGCAGTCAGTTTAAAGCACAGTATTCATTAAAAGATATGTTAGTATTTATTAATTCCTTATTACTCATCGGCCATCACACATAAATTATTTGACATTACATTGACTTATTTAAGAAATTTTAAATTGGATGAAATTATACTTAACAGTATTCAAAAGTAAATACCAAGTACTACAAACAATAAGAAATAACGTAGAACATTTCTTATCAGTTTAAAAAAAAAATGTATAAAAACAGAAAACAGAAGTTAGATATAATGATTTATAAATACACTGAAATATCAAATATGTTTAAAATATTAAAAATTACAATTAAAAATCTAAAATTTTTTTAAACATGTTAATTGATTGGCATTCATCTCATGTCTTTTATATTTATACATATGATATGCAAGTTATATTATTATACATTATAATTAGGGATGAGTAATACAGCTTTTTAATTATTTTAACACCTTGAAGTTAAGGTAATTAAAGAAGAAATTCAAGTTTATATCTCAAATAGTTAAAGCATAATCAAGTTTGAATATGATTATTATTAGTATAAGTATAAGCATTATTAACATTTTATTTTAAAATGTGCTATAATTAAATTTTTAACATTATATTGAATTTATTAACACTAAGAGTTTAAACCATCTATAATTATCATAATAATTACTTAGAAAATATGAAATAAAAAATTATTAGTTATTTTTGTTAGTAGTACTATAACTTACCAAATCCTCAAGCAACGCGACGAAATAAAAAAAAAATGAGCTAAAGCAATATGTTATATACTATAAAAAATACATTCAAGCAGTTTTTTTTTTTTTGATTTTAAGTGTACCTGAAGCACTATGTTTGGGTGACCCTACACCGCTGTAGACAGTGCTCAATCCTTGACCATACATATCATACTCGTTCGCACCTATCATGTCCTGTTGGTTGAAAAACACACAAAAGCTCAAACAATGTACAAGTGTGCAAATTTTCTAATATATAATAATGCCTAATTAAAAACCATAAACAACTTCATACAATCATACTTGGGTACTAATAATACTATAATAGAAATACAAAATATGGTGTCAAGCTAAACTGTATCAATTAGAGAGTATTGAATAATGTGCAGGAATTATACTGTAATCTAATAAAACTAGACTGCAGGTCAAATTGTAACACACATAAATAATTTAATTACTGGACTTACCAATACAGAATGTTCATAGATAAATATAATGAAGATGTATATCTTACGCTTTAATGTTTAATCAAATATTTGCACACTATTAACAAATTTATCTATTATTATATACCTGAAGATCTGGTGCTATACCAAGATCACCAGATGGCCATAAATTTTGATCTTCACTAAATAATGAGTTACTGAGTTCCATGGACAGACATTTTTGTAATTTATGTTCAGAAACCCTGGATAAAATTGCAGCTGCACATGTAGCTAAAAAAATAAACAAAGGATTAAAAAATAATTTTAATATACCATTTAAAAAATTAAAAATAAATATTAACCAAGAGCTTCATTTCCACAATGTAACAATTCACTAAGTGAGGCAGTTCCTCCTTCGGCTTCAATCATATCGGCACCTTCTTTATCAGCAGCTAACTCGTTTAATGTATCAGCAGCTAAACGCTGTATATTTTCAAAGTTGTTAAACAATAATTGTATTAATATAGCCATAAATCCTGGGTGAGAACGCATTATTGATCGACTTAGTGATTCTTTAGCTAATATGTGTAAAGTTCCAATAACACATTCAATAACCTCTTCCATTCTAACTCCTTCTGGTTTTACACTAGTGTTTGAATGCTGTAATACGTATAATCAATATTAAACTATTATTTTAACAAAATAAAAAAATAAAAAAAAATAAAAACAATTACATTCTGAAGATCTTGGAAAGCACGCATTAAAAGTCCAACCAAATTATGTATGGCACTGTGTTCACGAAGTAATCCATGTGTAGCTTTACATTGTGATAAATTTTTTATTAAACCAATTACAGCTTTTATAAGAGGCCAATGAGATGATGGTTGTAATAGCTTTGCCACAACTTGAGCACCACCTGAACGACAAACGGCATTTTGAGCGTTTTCTACCTCAGCATGTCCAGATGTTATATGTCTTAAAGCACAAACCTAAAAAAAAATATAATAATTTATAAATAATTAAAAACGTGAAAATAAAAAAAAAAAACTTTACAGCAGGTTTAGTTATTTCTTCATTGTCTCCAGCATTCATAATTGCACGCACAAGAGCTTCAACACCTCCAAACTGACATACAGTCAACTTATTTCTCTGGTTATTACAAGTCAAATTTGATAATATCCCAGCAGCACAAGTTACAATATTAATATTGGTATGACCCAATGCTGCAACCAGTGATTGCAATAGTTGTTCTAATCCATCAACCTAAACATTTGAACAATATAATTTAAGACTTATGTAGATATTGAAAAAATTATTATAATAGATCAGCTAACACATCCAAAGTATTTTTTAGAGTTAAAAAAAATAATTTTAATAAAGTTAAGATTCTATATATTGTTGGGAAATTATGGATTTTAGAAACCACCAAAATCAAATAATAATTAATGTATGAAAAAAGCTAATAAATAGAAGACGGAAGTTAGTGTTAATAAAGACCATCAGAAATGTCTACATTTATAACAAAGATTAAACAGTTAATAAATATATTGCATGAGTTACCTTAGTTCCTGCATCTGATAAGTTTCTTAAAGTCCATAAAACATTATACACCAGTTGCTGACTGTCATGCTGAAGATGCATTGCCAAAGCTTGCATTCCACCTGCTTCCACAATAGCTGGTTTGTTTCGTGAGCATACCGAAAGAACTAAAAATATATAAAACATTTAAATATAGAATGAATACTATAATATAGATAAATATCTAGTATCATTAGGTAATACCTTTAAGAACACGACAAGTAAGCCATAATAGTTTCTCATAGTTATATGAGCGCATAATACGCACAAGTTCAACATGTCCTTGTGCAGCAAGTATTATCAATTTACTTTCTTGATTTCCACAAGCCAAAATGTGTAAACAATCTGTTATGATAGTTAAAAACTTAACAGTAATCGAGTGGCTATTAGACTTGAATGTTAACAAAGATATCATTTTTTGTAAACCACCAGCTACACGAACAGCCATTTTAGAACCATCTTGATGCAATAATAAATTATGAATAGTTATCACAGCATCTCGTAAAATGGTTACAACTGGAGAACTGTTAAAACAGATTCAAGATAAAATCAAATCATGAATATGTTATGTCATATATAATGAATTATATTTATTAGACAATTTTAAATCACCTCATTAGTTTAACCAAAGCTGGTATTCCTCCACTTTTGAAAATTGCTAATAAGCCTTGACGATGATTAGACAAATTTCGTAATGTTCCAACTGCACCAATTGTGGTTTCCAGATCATTGCTGTTTGATATAGATTTAACTAATGTACCAATCATCTATAAAAATTTATCTTATTTTAAAACAAATAATTCATAAATTGTTTAAAAGGAAAATATGTATATACTTGTGGGCTGTTAATAATTGCATGTAAAGCAGCTTCTCTATTAGACAACTGATAAACCATAACAGCAGCTTGTGATACAACAACTTGATCTTCATCATTCAACAACTTTATTAATTCTGGAATAGCCCAGGTTGCAAGTTCGGCATTATCTTGGTAGTTGATCAAATTCACAACAGCATATTTCAACATTTGGCTTGGTCCAGTCATATTTTGTACATTTGCAGCACTATTGACATTGAATTGGGTGGGCATTTCCACTTCATCTTCTAAATTTTCACTACACGTTTGGCCTAAATGTTGATTCATGCCTGAAAACATTAAATATGTAAATATCTCAATTCTTGCATGATAAAAATATTTAACTTTCATACCATCAACTTGGTCATGTGGAAAAGATTGCGGAAACCCTTGATCAAGATCAAACAAAAGTCGGTCCCTCTCCATGTCATCTTCTTTGGTAGTTATAGAATGTGTCTGAGTGCTACCTCCGGATTGAATTCCAGAGTCCGGTAAATACTGACTACTCTGTTGCCATACTAACGAAGGATCTTTGATGTCCATGGTCTCGTTGATCGGATTCACCATGTTACCAGACACTATTAAGTACACATTAATAATATAAATATGTAAATAAAAAATAATAATTGAAATGCAGTCACAAAAAAAAATTACGTACTTCCTCTGGGTTGGTAGCTCATGATTGTCGGCAGGAATTGCGACCGTGTAGGACACACTATAGGTGCTCGCAGTTCAATAAATTAATTGAAACTTACTCGCTGACGCGCGAAGTTTTTCTGGACGTTGCACTCGACTGGCCGCCGAAAACGACACTGATACCAAAGTGCTTGTTGTTATTGTTGTTATCGCGGTCGTCGATCTATAAATTTATTCTTTCACTCTGCTGTCAGATGCAATCGTTTCGTACGGACAACCGCCGTAAATCGTACACACAAATGGAGTCGAATCGCGTCAAAATGGCGTTGGGAAGGCTTTATCGTTTGTCCTGTCCCGGGTGTGTACCGTATACTGAGCACAACGAGTAGTACAAACTACAAGAGTACAACTATGCAATCGGGGGTGTGAGAAAGATCCTCCGTGGACCGTGGCAGCCTGACGGTTGTACACTGTCTCTACTCTCTACCTGCTCAGAATATACATATATGTATATACACATACACACATATGAACAAGTGCACAAATCACGTCTGGACCGCGTAATACAAAGTGCATACACACTATTATAGAGTCTACAACGGAGGTTAATGTCGGCCGACGGTGTACACACACGCACAACTACACCAGCCACAAATTCACAGCACAATATTATTGTTATATAATAAACAATTATACAATGTAAATAAAGTTATAAGTAGGTACACATTATTAATAATAATAATAATAATAATAATAATTGTGCTATTGTTATTAATTTTACTTCTCCCGCTTTTTGTGCCCGGTAATGTCGCGTCGGCGGTCACACTGACACAAACTATGCGGGCGAGGAAAATATTCGTATCGACCCATCCGCCGCCTAACGAGTGGCGTAGTATTTTCGTAGTAAATGGTAATGCAATCGCCGATTCGTCTGCTATGTAAGCATATCCTGTTTGGAGTACAGTGCTCACGTTCGCCAACCCCACCGCTCTCGCGCATTCCACAATCCATTCCTCTCTTCTCGTATTTCGTATTATTATTATTATTATTATTATTACTGTGATTGTACATTTGTACGCCTACTCGGCCATATTTTTTTCTCTGTCCATGTACCATTGCCTCTCGTGAGTCGGTGACTCAGTGATTCCAGTGAAAGAATTATAAAACTGATAGCGTCCCGATATTACGCGATCGTCGCGATCCATAACAGTCATATTACCGATCGTCGTGATATAGTGATGTTTATGTGATACATAATATTTTTATTTTTTTTCTACTGACCGTTTCCTCTTTTCCGTCGGAGTGTCGCTGCAATACCCCGAGTATCGTTCAAAAGTAAGTGCCCTTAATGTGACGTAGTTGTCTCACTCAATATAATGTCATATCTTGCATATCCATTGCTAATCAATCGAGAGAGATATTGCTTGCTTCTTGTTCCGTACAGATCGAACTTGTTAAGAAGAACTCAAGTTTTGTAGAGTTATTGATATCTATTATTTTTTTTTTTATAAACAAATCATTGTACCTAATTAATTGAATCATAGGAGGTACCTACTACCTACCATACACATTTTATTATCACATACTTGGGAAACAATGCATGACTAAACCACTTCTATGAGTCATAGATTATTTTATGAATACCATTGTGACATTATATTATAAAACAATTATTTGATTTAGACCTAAGTCAAACTTACATCTGTATTAGATTAATCAGTACTCTCTTTTATTAATTTTTGTTGCAGCAGTTCTAACAGAATGTATCAATCACGAGTATGTAAGTATACCACTAAACAAACAAGTATATATAATTATTTCATTGATTATAAATCATAATAATTTAATGTGTTATTTTTGTCTAGTGCCGAGTAACACAGGTTACTCAAAGGATACAGCTATGATGTGGCAACAAGGTGGCCAGTACTTGCCAGAGTCTGGTATCCACTCTGGGGGAACCACCCAAGCGCATTCTATTACTGATAAAGAAGATGATTTAGAACGAGATCAATTGATCTATGAACTTAATCAAGGATTTTCACACGGATTTACTCAAGATCAAGTTGATGGTATATATATTATAACTTTAATAAGATATATGTCTATAATTAAATTAAACTTTAGAAATGAATCAACAATTGAGTCAGTCTCGTACCCAAAGAGTACGAGCAGCAATGTTCCCAGAAACGCTGGAAGAAGGAATTGAGATCCCTTCTACACAATTTAATCAAGGACAGTTGACAGCTGTCCAACGGCTAGCTGAGCCCAGTCAAATGCTTAAACATGCTGTGGTTAATTTGATAAATTATCAGGTAAATACTAAATAAATCCTGTTCGAGTGTTAAAAATATTTTTGTAGTATTTGATAATAAATTATAGGTAAAATTTAATATTAATTTTTATATTTTAGGATGATGCTGATTTAGCAACTAGAGCTATCCCAGAACTCATAAAGTTATTAAATGATGAAGATCAAGTTGTTGTATCTCAAGCTGCCATGATGGTTCACCAATTATCAAAAAAAGAAGCATCGAGGCATGCAATTATGAATAGTCCACAGGTAAATTTAATTTTTAAATTTTTTTTCAAAGTTTTTTTTAAGTTCATATTTTATTGATCAATTAATAATGTATAGATGGTTGCTGCTTTGGTGAAAGCATTGTCAAATAGTAATGATTTAGAAATGACTAAAGGTGCAGTTGGTACTTTACACAACTTGTCACATCATCGACAAGGGCTTTTAGCTATATTTAAAAGTGGAGGAATACCAGCTCTGGTTAAACTACTCAGGTAATTAGTAATTCATTAATTATTTAATTTATTTAATAATATACATCTATATTTTTAGTTCTCCTGTTGAATCTATACTATATTATGCTATAACAACTTTACATAATTTATTGCTACATCAAGAGGGTTCAAAAATGGCAGTTCGCCTTGCTGGAGGTCTACAAAAAATGGTAGCACTTTTGCAACGTAACAATGTTAAATTTTTGACAATCATAACTGATTGTTTACAAATATTAGCATATGGTAATCAAGAAAGTAAATTAATTATACTTGCATCACAAGGGCCCATTGAACTTGTACGTATTATGCGTTCATATGACTATGAAAAGCTTTTGTGGACAACATCTAGAGTTTTGAAAGGTATTTAATTAAATAATATAATATTTTTATTTTATTATTATTATTTTGTAATTTAAATACAAATGTTGTTTTTAGTTTTGTCTGTGTGTTCAAGTAATAAACCAGCAATTGTGGAAGCTGGTGGCATGCAAGCTCTTGCAATGCATTTACAACATGGGAGTCAACGTTTAGTCCAAAATGCTTTATGGACGTTGCGTAACTTGTCTGACGCTGGAACTAAGGTATTTTTTATTCAAATAAAATTGTGTTTTGGAATTGTTACTTATATCATATATTATATCGGAATTGTTACTTATATCATATATTAATCTATTTAATAATATATAATTTTTATTTTTAAGGTTGATGGGTTAGAACAGTTATTGCAATCATTAGTAATTGCTTTAAATCATTCAGATGTGAATGTAGTAACCTGTGCTGCTGGAATTTTATCAAATTTGACTTGTAATAATCAACGTAATAAAGTTACTGTGGTTCAAGTAGGCGGTGTTGAAGCACTAGTACAGACAATAATGAATGCCGGGGATCGTGAAGAAATTACTGAACCTGCTGTAAGTTTAATTGTTTAAAATATTTTAATAAAATTGTATTATTAGTTTGAATTTAAAAATATATTTCAGGTATGTGCTTTGAGACATTTGACATCCAGACATGTTGAATCAGATAGTGCTCAAAATGCTATACGCCATATTGGAGGTATTCAAGTTATAGTAAAATTGTTACAACCTCCTTCTCGTTGGCCACTTGTTAAAGCTGCTATTGGACTAATTCGAAATGTAGCGCAGTGTCAAGGTAATCATGTGCCATTAAGAGAACATGGTGCAATTCACCATTTAATACGTTTATTGATGAGAGCGTTTCAAGATATTCAAAGGGTATGTAATATGTTACTCAATATATTTATTTCATAAAATTGTAATATATCTATATGAGAATTTATATATTTTTTAATTTAACTGTATAGACATCTACAAATAGTAGTGTAGCTGGATCAGGTAGATCACAATCTGGTGGTGTATATGCTGATGGAGTGCGCATGGAAGAAATTGTTGAAGGCACTACTGGTGCATTGCATATTCTTGCTAGGGAATCACACAATAGAGTACTTATGCGTTCTCAACAAGGATTGATTGCAGTATTAGTTCAATTATTATTTAATGATATTGAAAATGTTCAACGAGTAGCTGCTGGTGCTTTATGCGAGTTAGCCATTGATAAAGATGGAGCCGATATGATCGAAGCAGAAGGTGCAACTGCACCATTAACTGAACTATTACATTCTCGTAACGAAGGAGTTGGTAAGTGTATTTTATTTTTTTATGAAATTAACTGAAATATTTGTATAATGTTATTTTTATAATTTTGTTTTAAGCAACGTATGCAGCAGCAGTTTTATTCCGGATGTCAGAAGATAAACCAAATGATTATAAAAAACGGTTATCGGCAGAATTAAGTAATTCACTATGCCGTGAAGATCAAAATACATGGCCACCTAATGATCTTGGAATGGGGCCTGATCTTCAGGTAATTTAAAACATTGAGACTTCTTTTTTTAAGTCTTTTTTTTAATATAAAATGTTTCTATTAGCCAGAGGCATACATCGCTTGTTGAGGTATGTTTTGGAATAACAGTACAATGTCATTGTTGATTTTTATGTAAAAAATATATTAATTTTTAATTTTTAATTTTATGCATGGTGTTAACTCTGTTTTGTATACCTAGACAGTTTTAGCATGGAATATTATTTATTTTATTATTGTTTTATACGGTAGTTAGAGTTTTTTTTTATATTTTGTAAACAGGATGCATATGATTTGTATAGTCATGGACTTGGTAGCGTTCACAATGGAATGGGCCCAATGAGACGTAACAACTACCATCAACAGTCAGGTACACACATGTTTTAGATCTAGTGGCTGAATTTGCTTAATCATACTAATTATTTTGCGCTTGTTTTGCATGCAATTCTACATTAACAGTAAGTAAAAAGTAAATAAATTTCTCATTAAAAATATTTAATATTTATAAATTATTTTATCAAAAAAAAATAAGTACTGAATATGTTTGATTTACATACCATTAATGTATACATTGGATCGTTTAAGTGGTAGTGATGTCAAGTCCCATTACTGTACAGGTTGCTCTCTAGAACAGAATCTAACAAGATCAATGGAATCATTTTTCTCTAGTTACAAAACAGGTCAATTACTGGACCATTGACTGTTATAAATCTATTAAGCAGTTAAAAATAAAACAACATACTATTATCACCATTATATAATTTTGTTAACTAAATCTTGATTTTGAAAATCTATTAACACTCAATAACTTAAATTTTTATAAATATTATCAATTTAAAAAATATTTTATATTTTTAACAATTTTAATAGTTGTCTGCAACCAGTGGTAACCATTTATATAAATTATTATAAAATTTTCGTGAGTCAATTATCAGAGAGAGGCATGTATAGATGTTTCAAAATTTTTAATCAAAAAATTCATAATATGTATTAACAAAATGGTAATAATTATTTATTAAATATTATTAAAGACAAATTAAGTATATTACACTTC